CTGCCTCTTGGCCGCTGTGATGGCTTTCCTCAGTCTGTACTTCGCAGCTTTGTACTCCATCTCATCGCCTGATCTGAATGCATGAGAGCGAGCATGCAGCATGTGGCGTACCTGGCTGTTTATCCAGGGCTTCTGGTTGGGGAACCTCCGTGACTTGTATGGTGGGCACAATGTTGTCAATACAGGTACTAATGTACCCAGTCACATACTCAGCATAGCCCTGTACACTGACAGAGAAGTCCTCAGTGTGTTCTTATCACGGGTGGGAATGTCCACATATTGGTAATATTTGGGGAATACAGTCCATAGATTGGACTGAGTAAAGAAGGGCTTTTGCCATCTAATATTTAGCAGCAATGCTATATGGGGCCTACAGGCCTTCCTGATTTTATATTTCGTAATTTTACTCTCTGTATTTTGATGTAGATCGTTGTTTTAAATTTGTGCATTGTTAACTTTTCTTTTGTTTCTTTATGTATTTTGGCATACTCTGTTTTATTGTGAAACATTTTGAGCTCCTTTCGGTGTTGTAAAGCGCTATATAAACAAATAAATTATTGTTATAAAGTCGCCTGCAGTGATAAATATAGCATTGGGGTGAGCCGTCTCTAGCACACAGATGATGTTGTGGAGTTTGCTGAGAGCCATCGAGGGATTAGCTCTTGGGCTAACATACACAGCAGCCAGAAACACAGCACTATGCTCTCTTGCTACATAATAGGGCCAGCATTTCAGCAATAAAAACTCAATTTCTGGCGAACAGTGCTTATAAATATCCGTACATCTCCACACCAGGAGTTATTGATAAACCCACACACACCGACTCCTTTTACCTTCCCCGAAGCAGCAGTGCGGTCTCCCCAATGTACAGAGTGGGTCTGTAGCTGAATCATGGAATCTGGGACTTTGTCAGAAAGCCAAGTCTCAATGAGAATTAAAACACAGCATTCTCTTATTTCCCGTTGTGTTGTGTCATGGCTAGAATGTGATACAGAGTAAATTAATTCAGACAAATCATCCCAATTTAAATCATTTAATATTACAATTATTATGAATGAGTAGTAAATAGGTAATCTGGTAGTTAGGGAACAGAGAACAGAATCACTCCTCCTGCAATGGAATAGATACAGTATTAAATAAGAAGATTGTCACAGGGTACAGTCAGTCTTGGTCACAGGGTACAGTCAGTCAGAGTTCGTTCCCCCCACCCAGGCCTGGGTCCCAAAGAGTGCATGGTACACTGTCACAGTAGCATTCTTCTTCCTACACCCTTCAGCCTCACTGTTTTATCCACAGCTTTCTTAGGCTGTTACGTCAATTTCCAAACTTAGCTTCTTGTCTCCAGTTTTAGGAGACAACACCCTGAGATGTACCCAAAAATAGGACATATCTTGGCCAATTATATAAGACCATTGTCCAGCTCACATGAACTTAAAAGTGGACCCATAAACACTCTATTCTATTACATAATCCATATTAACATGTAACTTAAACCACTACAGTCCAAAGGCCACGGAACTTCCAAACTCTGCAAAAAGCAACAAAAGCAAAGAGGAAAATCAAAATATGACCATGTTTGAGACTTTAACACTACTAAACCCTAACAGATGTAGTTAAACATTAACCTCTGCATCTAAAGTTAAATCTAAAATCAATTCCTCTTACAGAGCTAACAACTCCTCAATAAACTTTCAACCTTAGCAGAGTATTTCCCTCATACTCCACTGAAACATAACTTCATCAAACAACTCATTCACTCAAATTACTAACATCTCCCCTCCTAGCAGTAATTAACTATATGAAATGACACATAACTTCCAATGCATAACAGACTACAAATAAACAAACATGAACATAAAAATAAACAACAAGCATGAGGTGGTTCCACACTGTAAGTTTTCAGTGTTCACAAATGTTTGTACTATAAAATCGCTACAATACGTCCTTCACTGTGTAGAACGTGTTCACGTATATTGAAAAGAAAAGACTAAATATAAAGATATTTCACAGTGTGAAATTTATTATGCATTAACCTATCAAAATAAGTATGTGCACATGGTTCTTCACTGTTTAGGATAAGATTGGTCCTTCAGTCCGTCCATCCTCCAATCATCCTCTCTGCTCCAATGGTTGTGGACAGCACCCTAAAAAGGGAGAAATACCTATACTGTCTTAATTCCTACATAGACACTTATGTCTTCCTTTGTTTCCAAGAGACTGCCACATTTTAGGCACTACCCCCCTGTTCCAATAAAACTTCTCTGCCTATGTGTGTCTGTGTTGCCCTGCCTTTGAAGTTGCTTCCTCTTCCTGGCTCAGATCTAATCTCTGTTCCAACTATTCTAGGAATTCCACTAAACTATAGCTCCCCCGTCCCATTAGCCAGGTGGTGGTAACAAAGTAACTGTGGACCTTTTTTGCTAAAGCTGTAAATCTAATAAATTTTAGTGTTTTAGTGAACCAGTCTCCTTGATTTTAAACAGTGCTCCAGTTGGCTAACACAGTAAATACTGACCAGTGATTCAGTGAACACATAGGGTGATATATAGATATGTAACTACATAAACACAACTGCGAGATTAAAATATATAAGCTTATGTATGTTATATAATAAAAACCCTAACTAATTATTCATTTCTATCTAAAAATGAAAATCACCCTAACAACTGCATGTCCAGGCAAAAACCCGAAGGGCAAAATTCATGAACGATCCCGCATTCTTTTTCTTTTGGGTCCCCAGAGACGTAAAAAACCCCAATGATGACGAATGCTGGGGAAAACCATCTCCAGGCTTTTTTGGAGGATCACCAACAAGGCCTGTAGTGAGCCTGATTGTAGGAACCAGACATAGTGTAAATTTGGAAACTGAACTCAAAATATAACATAACTG